TTTTTATGAGACAGAGTCTCGCTATGTTGTTCAAGCTAGTTGTGAACTCACTATGTATCCCATGGCCTTGAACTTATGGTGATCCTCCTGCCTCAGCTTCCTGAGTTCTGAGATTATAGTTGTGTGTTGCACATGTGGCCCTTTGTTGCTCCCCCCATAAACAATTAAAAAAGTTTAAGCCAAGAGGCTCTGGGTTGCAAGAAAAATTGCAAGAAAAAATTCAGCAAACCTAAGATTATTTATTACTGCAGCACTCCCTCCTAGATAATGCCCTTTAAAGATTATTCTCCAGGCACTATCTGAGCATCTGGCAAATGGTTGGATCTCTTCTCATGGCAGCTGGAAACCAGCGAGTAAAACATTTACCAACTTATTGACATAATGGGTCTGGGTGTTTGCTTAGGTGTCAGGCAGTTGTAGATTGCCTTTTGACACTCTATTTTGAAATGAAAATAAATGCGAGAATAAGCCCAAAATGGCCCTAATAGAATGCCAAGAATAATCAATGCTCAGTTATGATAAATTTGTAGTCAAGGTAGGGAATACAGCAGGGAAACAATTAGTTCTGCTGACCGTGTGATGGGGAAGGGAGGGAATTCAGGAGGTTTTGGAGGAGGCTGCGGCAGAGTGAGGAGGACAGGTGAAGAGTCTGCCAAGTGGAAGGATCAGGAGCCCAAGTGGACATCTCGTCCCAGGCTGGGATCCCTCCTCAGTGATAGGTGATACCCGGGGGCTATGGCTACCTCAGCCACTTGCAAATTAGGTTGCTTTCTGAAAGGTGGAGGTGGAGTATACACTAGCAACTGTGGATGGGCCACAGATATGCAAAGTTGAAAAGAGATGAAACAGGTGACTAGAGACAGCACTTCTGGAATTTTAGCATTTCTAAAGAAGGACAAGGTTAATCCAAAGAGAGCCAAGTCTTCGCTGGAATCTTGGAAAAGGGGAAGCACAGGCTGATGATGGCTTCTCAACTTTGAATTTGGAGTCTTTCTCTCCTGGGAATATGTAGAGATAGATGCCCGGGCCAAGTGAACTCAAAGCCTCTAGCCTTTCAGACTTGGGGACTAGGACCAAGGACCTCCCAGATTGCAGCGTGGCTCCCCAGGGGCAGGTCTGTCTTCTGAGTCATGATCGCTGGTCCTGCATAAGGTTCAGGGACTGCTGAGGCTGGGAGCACAGCGGCTGGATGCGGGAAGGATCGGTATTCAGGCCAACCACTAGCTTTGGCCAACAAAAGATCCCAGTAACCTTGGTAGAATTGTTTTGATAGTAGAATGGGCCTATCGCAAGTTCGTGGGCTGTGCAAGAGAGGTGAGGAAGAGCAACTGCAGTTAGAGTTAAGGGCATAGCTGGAGGGAATTGAGGTGAAGGGATTATTTGCTTATGTATTTAATTATTGAGACAGATTTATACTATGTAGCTCAGGCTCACTATATAGTCCAGGTGGACCTCGAACTCACAACCTTTCTACTTTAGTGTCCCGAGCACCAGGGTTGTAGGTGTGCACCACTGGATCCAGCTATTGCTTTTTTAGTTTAAAAGTCTTAAACTTTGATGGGAAGAGTGGTGGAAAAGAACTTGTTAAAGACACTGCAGGGAGAAGTGAAGATTGGCAGGGTGGAACCTCTAAGCGTAAGGATGGTGAGGCATCGGGCGGAAGCTGAAAAGCAGGGCCGGAAGTGTTAGCAAAGCAGGACCGGAAGTGGTGACAAGGAGCAATTTAGCGGCCGAAGTCTTTTTTGCGGGAGTGAAAGAGCCAGTTTTGGATCCCTAGACCTGTCCCTTGCAGAGGGGTGGGGATTTGGAATCCGCAGCTGAGAGGAGTGAGGGAACATCTTTATTCAGCAGGTTTCCCAGACAACGTTGGAGGCTCCGAACATCCTTCAACACCTCCGTGAGGGCTGCTTTTGTCAAGGAGCAGTCTCTCTCTGCCAACGGCGCTGCAACCATGGGTGAGAGTCCGCTGAATCCTGTCTTAAGCATAAAAATGAAAGTGGTACTAGAAATGGCAGGGAGTGGGGCATGGTGGTGCATGCCCGTAATCGCAGCACTCGGGAGGAGGGTCGCCGTCGAGGCCAGCCTTTCAACATAGGAAGACCCTATGCCAAAAACAAACAAACAAAAAAACCAACAAAAAACACAACAGAAATTTACCAGCCGGGTTCCTTCAAATTCCAAGCTTCCCAGTAGATTTAAATTAGGAAGTTAAGGCCGGGAATTTGGCCCAGCGGTTCCGCCGCCTACCTCGAAAGTGCAGGGGGCCTGAGTTCGATCCCCGGTACCAAAAGCAAAAACACCCCAAAACAAAACAGAATAAATTAGGAAGTTAGTATCACAAAGACACTGCCAGGAATACGTCTTGGTGTGACGAAAAAGGCCACCTGGACAAGCCCCTGCCTTTGGAAGGCAGCTTGAGACTCCAAAGGGGTTTTTAGGTCTAGAGTAAGAGGGTGTTTTTGAACTTCTCTAGCAAGTGGATTTGTGCCCGCCGTGGATGGAAAGAGAGCAGTTGCCTGGTGGCTCTGGTTTAGGAAGTAGACAGGCACAGTCCTGGAATGGAGCCCATCAGTGACAGCAAATTTGAAATACCAGCTGGAGGACGTGGCTTTTGTAGCAAGAGTAAGTCGTGTGTTTTGTCTAGACTGGGCTTGTAAATTCTTAGGACCACATGTGAGAAATTATGCATAATGTAGATCTGCACATGTCCTCTTGGGCTGTCAGTGTAGAGCAGTGGGAAGGTGGGAAGGCCAGGATCTGTGACTTCTGGCTGTGACTTTGGAGCAGCCCTTTGCTCTTCTGGCCTCACTTTCCTCACCTGGGAATGGGGGTGACAGTACCAGACCTCAGGGCTCTGTGAGGGTCAGAGGAAGTCATGTCATTGAAAGTTCTGTGCCTATCAGTTCTTACCACCTTGGAAAGTTAGCTATAATTTAATATTTTATAGAAAAAACTATTCCTTTTACTTGAATCCAAGTAAAATTGCCATTTAGATGTCTTGCCTTTGTTTTATCTTGTTAAACTCAGTCCTCAGTATAGGGTGGCCAAGATACAGGGACCAGTTCCTTTTGGTATTTATCCTTCCTTCCTTCCTTCCTTCCTTTCTTTAATGCTGGAGGTCAAACCCAGGACCTTTTGCACATGCTAGGTAAGCCCTCTGCCACTGAGCTATACCCTCAGCCCCAAGTCTCTGTACCCCAAATCCAATCCTTTACCTGAAAAATGTGTATAGCTATGCATTTGGGACATGCAGAAATAATTATTTCTCATTGTTAAATTACAGGCACAGTAATTCTGATAAAATTAGGCTGAGACTCTAAGAAGAGCATGGCTGTGCAGTGGAAAAGGCATGCAAGATATGACTGAAAGTTTAGTGAATGTTTAAAAAGTTATTATAGCCAGGCGTGGTGGTGCATGCCTGTAATCCCAGCACTTGGGGGGCTGAGGCAGGAGGATCACTGTGAGTTCAAGACCAACCTGGGCTACAAAGTGAGTTCCAGGTCAGTCTCAACTACATAGTGAGACCCTGTCTCAAAAAAAAAAAAAAAAGTTATTATAGTAAAAGATGTATTGCCATTAATCATACTTCCTTTCAGTTCAAACACACATCACATTCTTGCCACGAGTGTCTTTGGTTTCCATGGCTTCCTTGATGTCCTGAATTGATGGAAACGATTCCTTTCCTGGTCATTTTGACTTTGGGGGAAAGCCAGAAGTTGTATGGTGCCAGACCTGTTGACTAAGGTGACTGAGGACACACCGTAACGGTGTTATGAGACTGCCTTTCCATTGAATGGCAAGGCGTGTCAGCCTTCACCATATATCTTTTTAAATCTTACTTTGTAAAGACAGTTACAGAAGAGGACTCCAGGACTGCTTCATAAAGTGGCAAGAGTGATGGGATGCGTGTATTTGGATCGAGAGGGAATACTTGGAGAGGAATTAATGACAGTGTATGTTTTACTGTAATAATTTTATTACAAACGTTTTTTTGAGACGGGGGCTTGCTGTGTTGTTCAAGCTGGTCTTCAACTCACTGAGGAGCCCAGCATGGCCTGGAACTTACACGGTTGACGATCCTCCTGTCTCAGCATCCTGAGTGCTAGGATTACAGGTGGGTGCCACCAAACCTGGCACTAGAATATTTTTTAAATGTGCGCCTTCATCGAATACTTTGATTGCTCTCGCAGCTCATGACTTTTAAAGCTAGATTGGCAATGTTGGTTGTAGCTTTTGATTTTCCTTGGACTGGATTTCTTCATCTGCAAGGCAGAAATATTAGAACCTAGTCTATAAGCCTTTAGAGTTAAATGACATAACAGATGTGGAAATCACTCGGGTGCTTGGAAAGGGAGGGGAATATAGGATTGAAGGAGTTCAAAATATGTATATCACTCTTCCAGTTTCAGGTTGAAGAAGCCAAGGAGTCAGCACAGCAATAAAATGAGTCATATATAAGTCATATAGAAGTTTCTGTTTCCAACTCTTTCTTTTTTTCTTTTTTTTTTGAGACAGGGTCTCACTATGTAGTTGAGACTGACCTGGAACTCACTGCATAGCCCAGGCTTGTCTCGAACTCACAGCAATCCTCCTGCCTCAGCCTCCTGAGTGCTGGGATTACAGGTTGCGCCACCAAGCCCCTTTTTCTGCTTCCAACTCTTATGGCCCAAATATGTGACTAAGTTACACGGATGGTAGTGAATATGCAAAATTATTTCAAGTAAGATAGCATGGTGATGAAGAACATGGACTATAGGGTGAGACATACCAGAGTCCAAATCCTATGTCAAGCTGCATTTAGTTACTCTGAGCCTTGACTCCCCGCCCTCCCCCATGCTAGGGCCTGGACCCCGGGCCTTAGAACTAAGCTCTATCTCCAGCCCTTTTTAAATTTTTGCTTTGAGATAGAGTCTCACTAAGTTGCTAAGTTGCCCAGGCTGGGCTGGAACTGGTGCTTCTCCCCAAGTAGAGGAATTACAGCTGTGTCATAGCATGCCTGACATGAGCCTTGACATCTTCATCAGTATAATAGTACTGGTTTCAGGCCTGGCATGGCGGCATATACTAGTAATATCAGCAGGAGTCTGAGGCAGGAGGATAGAGTTTGGCTTTGAGGCCGGCCTGGACTGTGTAGCATTGAAGGCCAGCCTGGAGTGCATAGTGAGACCCATCTCAGCACTCTCCCCCAGTACAACAGTGCAGGTTTCATGCTGTGGTGTCCATTTCTCCCTTTTTCTTTTTGCTTTTCTCTTCTCCCTTCCTTCCCTCCCTCCCTTCTTCATTTGTCTCTCTCTCTCTCTCTCTCTCTCTCTCTCTCTTAAAAAGCTTATTTGAAAAACTAAAAGTGAAGAGTGAGGGAGAAACTGGGTCTTCAGAGTGAGCTTCGGCAAAGTAAAAGAGAGAAAAGCAAGATTAAAGTACACCCAGGAGCACTGCCTGCCTTGTAAGCACAAGGTCCTGAGTTGATCCCTGGTCCAAAAAAAAAAAAAAAAAAAAAGTGCACCCAGGAGGACACAGAATGGGCTATCCTGAGAAAGTCGCCTCAGCCTCCCATGTGCCGGGATCACAGGTGTGTGCCACTACACCCGGCCTGTCCAAAATTTTCTATTAAGTGAGGTTCCTTTGATGACCTTGAAAATTGATGTTTGTTTATAGCTTCATTTACCCAACACATACTACTGAGCTCCTGCTTTGTGTCAGGTACTGTAGTGTAACATTTTGAATGAGAGAGCATTTGTAGATCACACCTCCAATGCAAGTAAAACTCTCTGCTCTCATAGCACTTTGCCAAGTTACAGCACATTGCTTTAAATCAGCAATGAATTTTGCATCCTTTATTGAGATGGGGTCTTGCTATGTAGCCCAGACTGGCCTTGGACTTCCAGTCCTCCTCTTTAGATCTATTGATTTGTTTTAAAAAAATACGTTTTCATTTATCATTTTAGTTTTTGCAGTGCTAGGAATTGAATACAGTACCTTACATATACTAGACAAATACTCTACCTCTGAGATATACCCTTAGCCCTGTTTTATTGTGTATGTATTAGATTTTTTTTTTTTAAAGACCGAGTCTTGTTGTGTTGCCCAAGCTGACCCATGGGTTCAAGTGATCCTCCTGCCTCAGCCTTCTGAGCAGCTGAAACTACAGGTGTGCCCTGTGATGTCTGGCTCATATATCTTTTTTCCCCCTAGGCTAATTGATATTGGTTTGGTCTTTAGCCAATCTTTCCCGTGTTATGTGGGACTTGGTGGTCAGGCTACTGTGGGGTTTAAACGAGTCCCCTGAAGAGGGAGCAGACTTCGGATCCCAGGGGGAGGCAGCCTGGCCTGGGAGCACTGTGCTATGTACATGGAAATAGCACTTTGAGTAGTCTTTCTCCTTGTTTAGTAGCAGTTCTTGCAGTCTTTCCCCTCCCCTTCTCCCATCTGTTTCTTCATTGTTGTCTCATTACTGTATAATCACAGATGGAATTTGTTTTTGTGATACTTGGGATTGAATCCAGTGCTTTGAGCATGCTAGCAAGTGCTCTACAATTAAGCTACAACCCCAGACGTTTTTGCTTTCAATTTTATGGTGAAATAGGGTCTTGCTAAGTTTCCCAGGTTGGCCTTGAATTTGTGATCCTCCTACCTCAGTGTTTTGAGTAACTGGGCTTATTGGGGTGTATACCCTAATGCCGTATTACAAATCCCTTTTTGGTCAGTGTAGGCCTCCATTCTAGCCAACTATTCATTCACAAAACTAGCCATCCACCCAATTTTCCTTATATTTAACTGTTTCCATCCATCTATGCATCCATGTAGCCATCCATCCATCATCCATCCATTTATTCATCTATCCATGCACTCATTCTCTTTGTTTGTTTGTTTTTTTGAGACAGGGTCTCACTATGTAGTTGAGACTGATATGGAATTCACTATGTAGCCCAGGCTGGTCTGGAACTCACAGTGATCC